CAATTTATTTCATGTATGTTGTTATTACTTTCAGCTATTCTTTGCACAAAACACAGTTTTGAAGAAAATATTTTCCAAGTTTATAAGAAAAATTGAATGTAGATACACTGCTTTACTTACATCAGTGATCTTCGTTTCAAAAGAAGAAAAAGGTCTACTGCAAGGATAGAAAAAGAAAATTCATGAAGACATAAAGACATTTAAAAAATATTTTACAGAAATTGTTTAGGCTACTTTAATGTGTCATCCCTTATTAGCTGCTGTTGAAAATATTAATAGCATAATATATTTATAAACTAATATTATCATCTCTAAAATTATTTTTGTGTGTGTTTTGATACGGAAATGTTATTTTAAATATAAAAATGATTATTGAATTAAGAATTATTATTAATTTAATTATTGTTCTTATGTAAGAAACTTTTCATTATATCGATAAAATATTGTTTATAAAAAAATTTTTAATTGCAGGAAAAAGGAACCAAAAGAAATTTTCATGTAAACACTGTAACAAGAACTTTACAACTAAACAAAAATTGCAAATTCATGAAAGAGTCCATACAGGAGAAAAGCCTTACACTTGTGATGAGTGTAAACAGAAGTTTACACAAAAGGCACACTTAATTACACACCTCCAAAAACACACTGGAGAAAAGCCTTACTGTTGTGATGAGTGTAAACAGAAGTTCACAACTAAACAAAGTATGGAAAATCATAAGAAAATTCATACAGGAGAAAAGCCTTACACTTGTGACGAGGGTAAACAGAAATTTACACAAAGGTCCAATTTAATTACACACCTCCGAATCCATACAGGAGAAAAGCCTTACTCTTGTGACGAGTGTAAACAGAAGTTCACAACTAAACAAAATATGGAAACTCATAAAAAAATTCATACAGGAGAAAAGCCCTACAGTTGTGATGAGTGTGAACAGAGCTTTACAACTAAACAACATTTGCAAAGGCATGAAAGAATCCATACAGGAGAAAAGCCTTACACTTGTGATGTGTGTAAACAGAAGTTTACACAAAAGGTAAGCTTAATTAGACATCTTTCGATCCACAATAGACAAAAGTAACATTGAACGTTCGAAACCATGATCCAAAAATACATTATAATATTCACACTTAGAAATTTTGAAGGAATATCATTTTTAATTTCTATCGACGTAGAATGATCGAAAGACGTAAGCAAAACTGGTTTTAAATGAAAATTTGTTTTTCTAATTTCTAAGAAGTTTCAACTAAAAAACATCTCAATATTCATATTCAAATGTAGCTCTTTTCGAATTTTATAATTATATTTCAAATGGTAACAGCTCTGTATTTCGATATTTTTAAACAAAATTTAATATCTGAAATTTTGAAATTGCAATTTTCTGTTTGAACATACAAAACAGAGTTTATGTAGAAGTTTGTTCAAAACAGAATTCGTTATTTTTAATCACATTATTACAACTTCATATTAATACTTGAACTGTTAATATATAATTAAAATGTCTTTATGTAAAACTTTTTTGAATAAAAGGTCGTTGCATCGATACTTGCATGAATTATTTATAGTTAAAGTTAATTTATTCGATCAGTAATTAGGAGAGTGCATATTTTGCTGTTATTCATAATACAGGAAATCCTCGTATATTCGAACATTATGAGCACGTCCAAAATTTGCCTCATTTTTTGACAGATAAACATTGTCGTGTTTTAGTAATTTTTTTCCTTTATAACCCATTTTTTTATATCTGATACGAAAACATTTTGTGCAATAAATCAATTTAAATTTTTTGGATTGCAAATTTGAAAACATCGTAGACCAATAAATTCTCACTGTTCTCTGTCTTAATCTCAAAAACGGTGTCAGATACTATAGATCAGTGTTTCTCAACCTCTAACAAATTGTCGCCCCCTTCAATAAAACCGTTACGTAGTATCGCCACCTTCACTTCAAAATTCCGATGCCCAGGGCCAAGGCTAACGCCAAATTCGTACTGCATTGAATAGACTAGTGACTAGTATAATGTTATTTGTTTAATTATTGTACGATATAACAAATAAAATATCTAATTATTCTTAATATAATGTTTTACTATATCGCCCAGAAAATTGTTTTTCGCCCCCCAAAATATAAATTGTTACTAATCGACCTTTCAACATGGAAAAACGCCCACATGGGGGCGATATCGCCCCCGTTGAGAAACACTGCTATAGATGCAAGTCAAGACCAGATATGAGAAGCTTAGTGGCAGAAGAATCCGATAAACTATAATCGACCTTCGCTTTCACGTCATTTCAATTGAAAAATTTTATCCACAACGGAGTCAGTCAGACGACCAGCAGGACTCGATTGTTATCTGGAAAAATATGATGCACAGCAGCAAGACACTACTAAAATTGAGAGCATATATTTTAAATTGATTAAAAATTGCAACTCGACATTGTGACAATAATTTTTGCTCGTCTTTATTAATTAATATATTAGCAAATGAGCCCGGCGTTGATCGGGCAAAAAGTAACGATAGCAAAAATTAAGAATATTAAATTATAGTCGATCTTATCCGTTTTCGTCAGATGCAAGAATTAGGTTTTTCCTCTTCCGAGAATGACTGGAGAATTTTGGATGAATCTGAAAATATGTTCGGTTTCCTGCAAAAACGCAAAAAAACACATCTAAAATAGTGCAGGAGCCAATCGTTCAATATAGAAACGTACCCATTAACAAGAAATTTATTTTACGTCTTTAACTATCGGAAAGGGGCCGTCCATAAATTACATAAGGTATTTTCGGGTGGGTGGGGGTCAAGGATTTCTTACTGGGGTAAGGGGGTAATAGATCTCGTCTTACGTAATATTCTCATTTTTATTTTTTGATCTCGTTGAGTGGTGGAGTTTTGAATTTGGCATCAATATGGCCGTTTCTATTAAGAACGCTCGTTGTACAGGTACTGAAGCCATCTCGTGTGACGTGATAAAATAATAACGCTAGCAAACTCACGCTCTACGCGTTTTTTTCATGGGAGAAAGGCCGTGTGGTGGTTTCTCTGTCTCGCTCTTTTTTTTTTATTAGAATAAGTGCACCACTTCTATGGGTGTATAACACTAAAAGTACATAAACCAAAATACACGATACAAAGTAAACATAAAATTATTATTCGGCTTTTAGTTTTCTTTAGTGAAAACTAAAGAAAACTAAAATGTAAAACTAGATATTAGAAATTATAGACTTCTCTTCCATGTTTTCTGAAGATAATTGTAAAAAGCATGAAACTGTGGCTTCTGAACAAGCTTATCGAGTGGACATGGTCACCTGAAACCAAGCGTAAAGATTTCTAATTTCAGAATAAGTGTATGTTGATCGTAAATTGGACAATGATAAATCATATGGAAAATGTTAAATCTCTAAGTGGTGATGAGATCCTGCATTTAACACTTGGAAAATAAAGTCTTGTTATTCTACCAGTTTTATTAATCAACCATTGTTGATTCCACTTTTGCATAGCAATGTCATGAATATAATTTTTAAGGCGGCTACGTGAGAGAGGGATGCGAGTGTATTCCAAATCAGTGTCCTTTACAGCTGACAGCCTCAAAGTCGACTTTTTCATTTCTAAGTATGACAGAATGGTCAGGGAATTATATAAAAGTTATCTTATTTACAAGATTTTTAATATGGTGCTGCATATATGCGATTTTATTGCTATTGCAATTGGGATTTCATAGAGCTTTTAGAACAGACTGAGAATCACTGTACATGTTGATAGACAGAGTTTTGTTTGGTAGTGAATCCCACTGAACAGCTTGGTAGTCAGCATCTTCTTCAGCTTGATAGATGGAGATATGTAAGAAGTATCTGTAATTGTAACATATTTTGGGCAAAATATGTCAGTTTGGAGGAAGATACAGATACTTGAGCTTTTGGAAGCATCTGTGTAGATATTAATGTCTGCATGGTTATCCATGAAGGAAGCAGATGAGACCAAATGTATTCTGTATACACTAAATGTGATCGCCAGCTTGTTTACAGGGTGATGATCACATTTAGTAGGGTAATTGCAATGTGGTAGCATAGGAACAGCCGTAGATAGAAGTAGAGACCGTTGTTGAGCCTTGACGTTTGTAGTTCTGATGTAGTAATTTAGAACCTTTTCTTACAATTCATAGTGCAAAAGAAGGAGCTCTGCTAGTATCAGAGGCATTAATAGAAACAGTTCTGCAGCACTTCGAAATTCTGATGGCACCAAATGCTTTGAAGAGAGAGTAATTTACTTGCTACTGAATTTTTACTAGTTACATGACCCCAGCTAGAGGCCGCGTAAAGTAGCGTTGGTTGTATTGCTCCATTATATAGAGTTTTACAAGCTTTATGATTTATTCTCCAAGTGCACCTAGCACATTTTAGAAGCATGTAGTTAATTTTATTGACTTTATCTAAGATGTAATTAATATGGCAACGGAATGTGGTTTCTATTGTCTCTTGTTTTATTTTGTATGACATTTCTGTTTACACGTGCACTTTCTAGTCGATCAGGCAATGTTTTTTGCGTCTTTTGCGATCATTAAAATTAATATAAAAATAAATATTATGACGTTGATTAATTATAATGATAATAATAATATTGTTAATAATTAAAAAATAAAGTTTTTAAAATAAATTGTTCATTCGTATTTATTAAGTCTTCATATTTTTTAATTTGTTCACATAAAGTTTTTTACAGGGGAGATCGGGGCAACTTCGGCATGCGGGGCAAGTTTGTCAAGCGCTTTTTTTAAAAAACAAATTAAAAGGAGACTTTGGTTATAGGTTAGGCAGTTGAGTTTTATTGGTGGCTTGTTGAGTGTAGTGTTTTTATTGTTCTCCAACAAGCGTAGTTGAATTATCAAGCAAATTTTCATTTTCGTTCAATTCCATATAATATTTTTTTTCCATTTATATTGAATTGGCAGGTTTTGTTATAATTCCATGATAACGAAAGTTACTTTTCCTGTTAGAAGGATGTAACTTCAACTTATTCACGTGGCCAGATCGTGGCTTGGCATTCTGTTCTCAGGGTTGTACTTAATGTTTCGAAATCATGACTAGCGGGGTAAGATCGGCAACATAAAGCCACATTAGAAGCAAAGGATAAAAATCAAACAGATGATAAATGAAAACATGTTTGCATTTGTTATTCATGTATATATGTCTTTGAACTTGCATTTCGTTGTAATAATATTAAATGGGTGTTGGATTTGTATTTCTTTGTTTTAATAGTGAATTCCAACTTATACATTGTTAATAACATAATTTTATATACGTGCCTATCTTGCCCCATTACTGTTGCCCCTATACCAGGGGCAACTTTAATAAAAATAATTAAAATAATTACAACTTTACAAAAAGAGAGAAGTTGCCGATCTTGCCCCTATACCCGGGGCAACTTCGTCAATTTCTCTCTTCTTGTAAAGTTGTAATTATTTTAATTATTTTTATTTCCAAACTGATTTTAACCAGTTCTATAGTAAGGTAACATTCCAATAGACAATATGCAAAGCTTTTTTTTCAGTTTACAGCAGTATTTATTACACAAAATTTAAGTAAAGCTTAACATGCCGATCTTGCCCCGATCTCCCCTAAATAATAGTACATATTAATTAACTAATTAATAATTATATATTTTAGACCTAAGGTTTTTAGAATTTCGAATAAATTTTTTTTTGTTAAAATTTTTCTATAAAATCATACCTAAATATTAAGTAAGATAGGGAAGGGAAGGGGAGGGGAGGGGAGGGGGATCAAAGAAAATATTACGGTTTCTTACACAGGGGTGGGTGGGATCTAGAATGGCCAAAATCGCCCTTACATAATTTATGCCAAATTAATGCATAATTTATACCTCTTACCAAAGCAAGAGATCAAGAGAGTATCTTTTACAATAGTTGAGTCACGCCACTCTTTGGACACCTAATTTTAGTAAGGGTAGGGTGTTACGTTTTATTATTAAAATCGTTTTGTATTTTTCATACATTCTAAAATGGCAAAGAGCTTCACTTTTAGGGTAGGGATGAGTTTTATAAAGAAAATTGTAAATGGGCTAATAACGAGTAAAATCCTCATTAAGTTCGACCCTACTGGAGATATGACACAAGACCACCCTTTATCTCTTTATTCGGTCGACCTTTAACTACCGAAATTAAATAGCATCAATGCCATAATACAGGAACCTTCCTGAAAATTTCAAAAATTTTCTACAGAAAGTATAGGAGTTATTAAGCATCAAAGCGAGTGAACAAAGTACTGTCCCGAACTAAAGCTTGCGCGTTTATCGTTGTTTATGGTACTGTCAA